GAGCGGAGGCACGGAAATGAGGCCAGCGCTGCAGCGGGAGCACGATTCGGAACGAGCGGGGCCCGAAAATGAGGCCGGCGCCTCAGCGACAGCAGCATTTTGAAAAATTAGCCTGGCGAAGGACCCAACCATATGCAGTTGTGAATGCCGCAATTGTGCTGGGTGGTGGCGGACGCATGCGGGCGGTGCCACTGGGACCTTCGGTGGGGCTCCCTATGGGGCCACGAAACGCTGTACTGGGTGGGTGAGACGCGGTCAGCAAGGGCTGTGCTGCGTGGTGGCGGACGCACGCGAGCGGTGCCACTGGGACCTTCGGTGGAGCTCCCTATGGGGCCACGAAGCGCTGTACTGGGTGGGTGAAACGCAAGCAGGGAGCAAGGGCTGTGCAGGGTGGTGGCGGACGCATGCTGGCGGTGCCGCTGGGACCTTTGGTGGAGCTCCGTATAGGGCTACGAAGCGCTGTTCTGGGTGGGTGACGCGCAGGGAACAAGGGCTGTGCTGGGTGGTGGCGGACGCAAGCGGGCAGTGCCACTGGGACCTTTGGTGGAGCCCCCTATGGTGCCACGAAACGTGCGAGGGGTGTGCCAAAATGGTGTGTGGAACCGCATGCCAGCGCAGCCACTGGGGCCTTCGGTGGAGCTCCCTATGGAGCCACGAAACGTGTGAGGGGTGTGCCGAATTGGGGGGTGGAACCGCATGCGAGCGCAGCCACTGCGGCGTTCGGTGGAGCTCCCTATGGGGCCACGAGACGTGTGAAGGGCGTGCCGAAAAAAGGGTGTGGAACCGCATGCGAGCGCAGCCACTGGGGCCTTCGGTGGAGCTCTCTATGGGGCCACGAACCGTGTGAGGGGTGTGCCGAAATGGGGGGGGGAACCACATGCGAGCGCAGCCACTGGGGCGTTCGGTGGAGCTCCCCATGGAGCCACCCACGAAGCGTGTGAGGGGTGTGCCAGAATGGGGGGTGGAACCGCATGCGGGCGCAGCCACTGGGGCCTTCGGTGGAGCTCCCTATGGGGCCACGAAACGTGTGAGGGGTGTGCCAGAATGGGGGGTGGAACCGCATGCGGGCGCAGCCACTGGGGCCTTCGGTGGAGCTCCCTATGGGGCCACGAAGCGTGTGAGGGGTGTGCCAGAATGGGGGGTGGAACCGCATGCGGGCGCAGCCACTGGGGCCTTCGGTGGAGCTCCCTATGGGGCCACGAAACGTGTGAGGGGTGTGCCAGAATGGGGGGTGGAACCGCATGCGGGCGCAGCCACTGGGGCCTTCGGTGGAGCTCCCTATGGGGCCACGAAACGTGTGAGGGGTGTGCCAGAATGGGGGGTGGAACCGCATGCGGGCGCAGCCACTGGGGCCTTCGGTGGAGCTCCCTATGGGGCCACGAAACGTGTGAGGGGTGTGCCAGAATGGGGGGTGGAACCGCATGCGGGCGCAGCCACTGGGGCCTTCGGTGGAGCTCCCTATGGGGCCACGAAACGTGTGAGGGGTGTGCCAGAATGGGGGGTGGAACCGCATGCGGGCGCAGCCACTGGGGCCTTCGGTGGAGCTCCCTATGGGGCCACGAAACGTGTGAGGGGTGTGCCAGAATGGGGGGTGGAACCGCATGCGGGCGCAGCCACTGGGGACTTCGGTGGAGCTCCCTATGGGGCCACGAAACGTGTGAGGGGTGTGCCAGAATGGGGGGTGGAACCGCATGCGGGCGCAGCCACTGGGGCCTTCGGTGGAGCTCCCTATGGGGCCACGAAACGTGCGAGGGGTGTGCCAGAATGGGGGGTGGAACCGCATGCGGGCGCAGCCACTGGGGCCTTCGGTGGAGCTCCCTATGGGGCCACGAAACGTGTGAGGGGTGTGCCAGAATGGGGGGTGGAACGCATGCGGCGCAGCCACTGGGGCCTTCGGTGGAGCTCCCTATGGGGCCACGAAACGTGTGAGGGGTGTGCCAGAATGGGGGGTGGAACCGCATGCGGGCGCAGCCACTGGGGCCTTCGGTGGAGCTCCCTATGGGGCCACGAAACGTGTGAGGGGTGTGCCAGAATGGGGGGTGGAACCGCATGCGGGCGCAGCCACTGGGGCCTTCGGTGGAGCTCCCTATGGGGCCACGAAACGTGTGAGGGGTGTGCCAGAATGGGGGGTGGAACCGCATGCGGGCGCAGCCACTGGGGCCTTCGGTGGAGCTCCCTATGGGGCCACGAAACGTGTGAGGGGTGTGCCAGAATGGGGGGTGGAACCGCATGCGGGCGCAGCCACTGGGGCCTTCGGTGGAGCTCCCTATGGGGCCACGAAACGTGTGAGGGGTGTGCCGAAATGCCATGCGGCCGCACCACTGGGGCCTTCGGTGGAGCTCCCTACGGGCCACGAAACGTGTGAGGGGTGTGCCGAACAGGCGGGCGTGACACGAGATGGGGGGTGGGCATGCGGGCGCAGCCACTGGGGCCTTCGGTGGAGCTCCCTATGGGGCCACGAAACGTGTGAGGGGCGTGCCAGAGCGGGCGTGGGAGGGGGAGGAGGGGGGAAGAAGGGGAGGAGGAGGAGGAAGGAGGAGGAACGCGGGGCAACGTCTCTTCAAAACGAGGACCCAACACCACAGAATGGTTGGGAAAAATGCAAGCGAAAACCCACCTCCGGGGAAACCTGTTTGTAAAATTAGCCTGGCGAAGGACCCAACCATATGCAGTTGTGAATGCCGCAATTGTGCTGGGTGGTGGCGGACGCATGCGGGCGGTGCCACTGGGACCTTCGGTGGAGCTCCCTATGGGCCCACGAAACGCTGTACTGGGTGGGTGAGACGCGGTCAGCAAGGGCTGTGCTGCGTGGTGTCGGACGCATGCGAGCGGTGCCACTGGGACCTTCGGTGGAGCTCCCTATGGGCCCACGAAACGCTGTACTGGGTGGGTGAAACGCAGGCAGGGAGCAAGTGCTGCGCAGGGTGGTGGCGGACGCATGCGGGCGGTGCCGCTGGGACCTTTGGTGGAGCTCCCTATAGGGCTACGAAGCGCTGTTCTGGGTGGGCGAAGCGCAAGGAACAAGGGCTGTGCTGGGTGGTGGCGGGCGCAAGCGGGCAGTGCCACTGGGACCTTCGGTGGAGCTCCCTATGGAGCCACGAAACGTGTGAGGGGTGTGCCAGAATGGGGGGTGGAACCGCATGCGGGCGCAGCCACTGCGGCGTTCGGTGGAGCTCCCTATGGGGCCACGAGACGTGTGAAGGGCGTGCCGAAAAAGGGTGGAACCGCATGCGGGCGCAGCCACTGGGGCCTTCGGTGGAGCTCTCTATGGGGCCACGAACGTGTGAGGGGTGTGCCGAATGGGGGGTGGAACCACATAGCGAGCGCAGCACTGGGGCGTTCGGTGGGAGGTCCCAGGAGCACCCAACGAAGCGTGATGAGGGGGTGTGCCGAAATGGGGGGTGGAACCGCTGCGAGGCAAGCCACTGGAGCCTTCGGTGGAGCTCCTATGTGGCACGAAACGGTGTGAGGGGTGTGCCAGAATGGGGTGGTGGAACCGCATGCGGGCGCAGCCACTGGGGCCTTCGGTGGAGCTCCCTATGGGGCCACGAAGCGTGTGAGGGGTGTGCCAGAATGAGGGGTGGAACAGCATGCGGGCGCAGCCACTGGGGCCTTCGGTGGAGCTCCCTATGGGGCCACGAAGCGTGTGAGGGGTGTGCCAGAATGGGGGGTGGAACCGCATGCGGGCGCAGCCATTGGGGCCTTCGGTGGAGCTCCCTATGGGGCCACGCAACGTGTGAGGGGTGTGCCAGAATGGGGTGTGGAACCGCATGCGGGCGCAGCCACTGGGGCCTTCGGTGGAGCTCCCTATGGGGCCACGAAACGTGTGAGGGGTGTGCCAGAACGGGGGGTGGAACCGCATGCGGGCGCAGCCACTGGGGCCTGCGGTGGAGCTCCCTATGGGGCCACGAAACGTGTGAGGGGTGTGCCAGAATGGGGGGGTGGAACCGCATGCGGGCGCAGCCACTGGGGCCTTCGGTGGAGCTCCCTATGGGGCCACGAAACGTGTGAGGGGTGTGCCAGAATGGGAGGTGGAACCGCATGCGGGCGCAGCCACTGGGGCCTTCGGTGGAGCTCCCTATGGGGCCACGAAACGTGTGAGGGGTGTGCCAGAATGGGTGTGGGAACACACGCATGCGGGCGCAGTCCACTGGGGCCCTTCGGTGGAGCTCCTATGGGGGCCAACGAAACGTGTGAGGGGTGTGCCAGAATGGGTGTGGGAGGGGGAGGAGGGGGGTGGAGGAAGGGGAGGAGGAGGAAGGAGGAGGAAGGAGAAAACCGACGGGGGTGGGGCGACGTTCCTCTTCAAAACGAGGACCCAACACCACAGGATGGTTGGAAAAAACAGAAAGCGGGGGGGGTCGAGCACTTCCAAACCGTCATCAGGGGAAGAGGGAGAGTAGTATTCATATTGAGTAATTGTAAACCGAGGGTGAGGGGGAGGGGGAGGGGGAGGGGGAGGAGGCGGAGGAGAAAGGGGTTCGGACGAGGATGCCAAGGAGGAGTAAGAAAGAGGAGGAGAGGAGGAGGAGGAGGAGGAGGAGGAGGGGGAGGTAGGGGGAGGGGGAGGACAGAGAGAGCAAGAGTAAGGCAAGTGGTGGCCTGAAGACACGGATCTGATGGCATCTAGATTCGGAACCACTTGAGGGCTCCGAGTTCGGGGTCTGAGAACTGTCTCCAATCGCGCTGGCGAGTCCTCCGCCAGCGCGCTCGCACCGCGGACAGACAAAACTCTGGGAGACCATCGAATATTCAGGTGGTCGGGCTGGGGGGGAAAGGAGAGAGAAGGAACCCCAGCGGTCAATCCTACGGCTGGCTGGTGCTGGTGGCAGGGGGGAAGAGGCAGGAGAGGAGAGCGAGTGGGAAACCGAAGGAGGTGAGAGGAGGAAGGAGGGAGGACGCAGGAGGATCAGGGAGGAAGAAGGAGGACAAACCATGAAAGAGGGCGAGGAGGAGCAGGAATGGAGAGCCGCACCATGATTCGAAGCCTCCCTCCCCACACGGTGCTCGTGAGCATCTTCACCTGGCCGTCGATCACCAGCTCGGAATACCTTGATCGCGCGGGTTTACGCAACGCCGCTCTTGATTTACCACCTGCGCTTTTTTGACCATAGACGTAAGAGCGAAATGGCTGCCTGCACTCCGCAGTACGAACGCAGCCCCAGCTATCAGATGCAGCCCTGGTGAACAGATGCAGCCACGGCCACCATGGCCAACTGGCGACCACACGGCGTCACAGTTACGTCTACAAAATCATGAAGTCGGAGCGCAATACGACGTGGCGAGGCAGGCCGTTGCACCAGACGCTACGCAACTCTGTGCTGCGCTTCACCGCACTTGTCAACTCAGTGCCACTCTCCCACGACCACAACCCGCTACACTCTTCTGAACTGCACTGCGCTGCGCTGCGCCGTGCTAGACTGCCCAGCACAGCGGAAAGACAGGGTGGAAAGACACTCACTTTCATCGATCTGAATGAAAACAAGAGGAGAGGGCAATGGAGGGGAAAGTCATCCCTGGGCGGAGTCTGGGATCTGCGGCCGATCAAGAAAATTCGGTCAAGACTGGGTTTTCACACCTTGTGCGCAACACTGCCGATAAAGCAGCTCGACCAGGCTCCGAAGAAGAATAAGGGTGCTCTTCGACAGTACGGGCGCCATCAAACCTGACAGCGCAATCAGGTGCATCGCGAGTCCCAGGTATCTGGCGAGTCCGAAGATGGTACATTTCCAGAGCCTGGGGAACCGATGTTCCAGGAAACCAGGAGGCAGAAATGGATCACTTTGGGGCCCCAGGGGCCCGAGAGTACATGCCCTGGGACATGAGTTCACTCGGATGTACCGCCGCCGACTGCACTTCCAAACCCAGGATCTCCAAAGAAACTCCATAAGCGAATTCCAATATCAGACCACATCGCCCTCCGAGGGGGCAGTTCAAGCATCGAGCCTCGAGCCGCCCCACGCATAATCCTCCTCCTCCTCCTCCTCCTCCTCCTCCTCCTCCTCGTCCTCCTCCTCTTCCTCCTCCTCCTCCTCCAGACGTCATAGTAGGACATCTCTCCAAATGTCCTCACTCCTCCTCCCAAAAAAAAGCAAACACACACGCCTCCTAATCCTCCCCCTCAGCGCTTGTGTACCCTCCCCCTTCCTCCTCCTCCGCCTCCTGCCGCCTCCTCCGCCCCTCCGCACTCCATCCGGGGGGGCCTCGCCTTCCCTTCCTCCTCCTCCTCTCCTCCTCCATCATCCTCCGCCTCCTACCCGTCCTCCTCCTCCTCCTCCTCCTCCTCACCTCCAACTCCTCCCCTTCTCCTCCTCCTCCTCCACCTCCTCCTCCTCCTCCTCCTTCCTACCTCCTCCTCTCCTCCTCCTCCTCCGCCTGCTCCTCCTCACTCCTCCTCCTCCTCCTCCTCCTCCGCTCCGCCTCCGCCTCCGCCTCCCGCCTTCCATCCGCCTCCGCCTCCCCCTCCGCCTCCGCCTCCGCCTCCCCGCCTCCGCCTCCAGCCGTCCTCCTCCTCCTCCTCCTCCTCCTCCTCCTCCTCCTCCTCCTCCTCATCCTCCTCATCCCTCCTGCTCCTGCTCCTGCTCCTGCTTCCGCGTGCCCCGGGGCCTCGGGTCCGAGGAGGGCCCCGGAGCGAGCGCACCACGGGAGCGCGCGAAGCGGCCGACGCGCGCGCAGCCCCGCGCGCTCCTGCTCCTGCTCCTGCTCCTGCTCCTGCTCCTGCTCCTGCACCTCCTCCTCCTCCTACTCCTGCTCCTCCCCTCCTCCTCCTCCTCCTCCTCCCTCCCTCCCTGCCTCCCTCCCTCCCGCCCGCCCGCCGCCCCCCTGCCCGCCCGACCCTCTCCTCCGCTCCCCCGCTCCTCTCCCTCCCTCCTGCTCCTCCTCCTCCTCCTCCTCCTCCTCCTCCTCCGCCTCCTCCTGCTCCTGCTGCTCCTGAATCCTGCTTCCTCATGAACAGCTTCCCCATATCGCACCACTGGACGTGTCCGCAGGCCAGGCTTGGCGGCCCGCCCGAAGCTATTCCCGCACCTTGCATGAAAAACAACTCCGTCAGTTACAGCGATGGTCCAGTCGTTTCCGAAATGAGGCTCTCGCCTCAGCGCCGCGCACGTGGAGGCTGGTACGTGTTCAAACATGCTACTCCGCCTTGATACTACCTCATACTATAACACACCAAATCCCCACCTGTGCAGCCGTCACACCGATAAAAAGGAGAAAAGGAGAGAGAGAGCAAGCAAGCAAGCAAGCAAGCAAGCAAGCAAGCACGCAAGCAAGCCGTGCACGTCCAGGGTGCTTTGGCAGCGAAAGGGGCTCTCGTGTTAAGACTTCTGCGTGCATCATGGCCAGAGCTGTGGAATCGCAGAACCCTTACACGGGCGGAGGGCTGATCCGTTCCAAAACGTGGCCATCGCTGCAGACGTCCTGCAACGTGCTCGTCCTGCCTCCTTGCGCTTCCGTGAGCTGGAAGGACGGCGGGTGGCTGCTTGACGAGGCGGGGCCTCGCCGGAGTGGCAGGCCCACGGGGCGCTCTTCGTGTTCGAGGGGAGGCCCGTGCCCCGGTGGACAGGGCTGCTGGCAGGGATGCATGAGGAGGGGAGTGGGACGGGGGAGTGCACTGCAGCATCGTTGATGCATCCTGGGTTTACTGTGGT